TGAAGGTAGGAGGATGAGGAGTTCAAGGCTAGCCTTGGCTACATAATGAATATGAGGCTAGCCTAGGCTACATGAGACCTTCTCTCAAACAAAATAGAACAGAAAACTCCCACAGCATTCAAGGCAGCTTCCACCCCTCAGAAGAGCCCTGCTCCTCTTCTAAACTAAGCCCTCTGCTGGGTTCCTCCATTGCCACCACCATGCCCCCCTCTTCTATGCTGCTTCTCTCCTCTCTCTACCTCTCAAGTCCTCCCCAGACCCCCAAACCCTCTCTCCATACTCTCTTTTTTAAGCCGGCACCTCCATCCCTTCACCCTCCTCTTCCTTGAAAGGGAATTCTTTAGTATGGACGTCCTCACTTCCCTAACTTCCACTCCCCTCCACCATGGCTGCCTGGCACCTGCTCTCATCAAAGACTTCACAAGCCATCAACACTGCTCATTTCCCTGCTCAATCTACTAGCCTGCTTTTAAAGATTTATTTTTAATTTTCATTATGTGTATGCATGTGTGTCTGTGTATATGTGCAGAAGTGCAGTTGCCTGCAGAGGCCAGAAGAGGATGTCAGATCCCCCAGAGCTGGAGTTGCAGGTGGTTGTGAGCTGCCCTACATAGACATTGGGAACCAAACTCAGGTCCTTTGCAAGAGCAGTAGGCATCTCTCCAGCCCCTAGCCCACTTTTAGACTTGGGACTCATCTGGGCACACTCCACCTGTCAACTGGAAAAATCTCTCCTGTGTGGACATGCTTCTCTTCCATTCTCCCTTTCACCATCCCTTCTTACAGACATCTAGTCTTCAACCTGTCCCTGAGCATTCCTTCTCCAGACCAGCCCTTGGCTGGTTTTTTGCTCTGTACTCTCTCCCTGGGAATTCTCTCTGAACTACTTCCCTCTTATCACTTCATATAGCTGGAGTCAGTGGTGGCCTCAGTCCTAACCCACCTCCAGTTTTGACTACAGATCCAAACTTTTCATCCCGTGTGGAGCACCTACTGCTCCCTGTCGTCTGTCCTCCTCCTTCCTCCTCCCACTGTTGACAAGCTTGCTCTGTCTCTTGCCTTCTGTTCTCTGAAGTCAGTCACTAACACTCAGGAACCTAAGGTGGAAATCTCAAAGTCACATTCTACTCATCTTCTCTTTTGTTGTCAACAGCCAGGACTTGAAGCCACGTAAAATGGCTCTGAGGATGTGCTTAGCATTTTTGCTTTAGTTCCTGTCTGTAGACTTGCCCACTTCTGCCTATCACAACAGCATCCCATCCAGCCTTTCCTGCTTCAGTCCTTCATCCTTCCTTCCTTCTATGCTCACCTCCACACCACTCCAGCATTCTATCCTTGACCAGTACTAGTTATGTTTGAAATGCCTTATACCCTCCTGCTTCCTCAGGATCCCTTTGATTGCTTTCTACAGTTTAAGTTGACTCTTAACCCCACTTTTCTTATAAGAAAATAAATAAGGCCAGGTGTGGTAGCACATTCAGAAGTCAGAGGGAAGAGGATCAAAAGTTCAAGGGTGGCCAGGAGGTTTGGTGCACATCTTTAATCCCAGCACTAGGGAAGAAGAGGCAGGCAGACCTCTGTGGGTTCGAAGCCAGCCTGGTCTACATAGTAATTTCCACGCCAGTCAGGGCTACATAGTGAGACTTGTCTCAAAAAAAAAAGAGAAAAGTTCAAGGTCATCCTCAGCTACATAGTGAATTCAAGGGCAGCCTGGGCTACATGAGACTTTGACTCAAAAAACCAAAACACAACAAACAAACAAACAAACAAACAACAAACAAACAAAGAGTAGAAGTCAGAATCCAACTCATCAGCCAGACAGTGGTGGATAGGAAACATGAGAGGAGAAAAATGGTAGTGCCATGGTATGTAGGTTATATGGAACATTGGAGATCATCACATCCAAACTTCTACATTTTGTCTATGAAGAAACTGAGGCCAAGAAGGAAGAGGAGCATGTAAGGGCAGCAACTAGCAAGGGGAAGCCAGGACTTGCTTCCATCTAGCATCTGGTATCCTCCGGCTGCCTCTCAACTGTGTTGTCCCTGCCCTGGGACTCAAAGGCAGCTCTGCTCCCAGTCCTTTGGCCTCCCCACAATGATCTCTGGGAAAAAAACTCAGGATATTTTCCTGGTACTGGGAACTTCACAGGCTCAGCATGGTAATGCTGGTGCATGTTGTATGAGCCAACGCCCCTGACTCGTGCAAATTCAGGACTACAGTTCATCCAGCCTCTGGCTATAACCTCTAGTTGTACTAGCCAGCTTGGGGCTTTGTACAGGGGCCACACCAAGGGCAGGGGGCTCTTTCTCCACTCTTAGAAGTCCACCAACCTCTTGTTTGTATGTGAGCACAACCATGCCCTGCCCTCTCCCTGACTCCCTCTGCCTCCTGTTGCCTCCCATTTAGTCATAATGAGGTCACACACTGTTTCTGTTCCCAGGCCTCTCCCCAAAACTGGTATGTATGAATGGGGAGACTGTAGAGGAGGATGCAGCAAGGGAACCAGGGAATAGTGGGCTTTGGAGTCAGAAGAGTGGGTTCAAATCCTGTCCCAGCCAGTTGACCAATTGTGAGACCTCTGGCAAGTTGCTTCATCTAGAAGATCCTTCTGACTACCTGGGAGGGAGCTTCCTCACCTGTAGATTGGGGGTAGCAATGCATAATTACCTCCTAGATCATGGTGGAAATGTCATGAGATAAAGAGCCTATAGGCTTGGTGATCGAGGACTGTGGACCGTCTTTCTTTGCCATGAAGCATGTTGGGGGTGGAGGTGGCTAGACTCTCCTAGACTCTCCATTTCATCTAGCTGTGGAGTGAAAGCGAGTGTGTGTGTATGTGTGTGTGTGTGTGTGTGTGTGTGTGTGTGTGTGTGTGTGTTGGGATCTGATGGCCTTGGAGGATTTTAGATGTGGAGTGCCAGGAGAGTATGTAAATGAGTGTACCTGAGCAGAGCATCTCTCCCTCCAAAGCCCATCCCCAGTTGAAAGCTCTGCCCCTTCTGTTCTTGTTAGTGATGAGAAACCCAAATGTTTCCTAGGAAATCAACTCCAGAGGCCAACCAGTGAGACTCAAAAGGTGTGCAAAGGCTGGGGGCCTCTATGTGGCAGCCTAGGCTATCCAGCACATGGGTTTCTCAAGTTGGATCACATGGCAGCCAAACTCACTGTCTGGTAGCTGACAAGACCACATTTTGGTATGAGAGTCCCTCCTTGGCTGCTTATCCAAGGGAGGCCTATGAGAAGTAGACCTCCAGGCTGAGGGTCCTGAGGGTCTCAACCTGCTCAGTAGTCTCCTCCAGAGCAGCCACAGAATCCTTGGATGCCTTTCTACCATTGAGTTAACTTGATTCAATTTCCCTTTTTGGGGGGAATGGGAGGAAAAATAGCTGAGACAGGCTCTAACTTATACAGCCCAGACTGGCCTCAAACTCACGGCAATCCTTCTGCCTCCCACAGTGCTAGGATTACAGGTGGCAACTCCCATGTCTGCCTGGCTAGAGCTTTGTCTCAGATAAAAATCTCTTTCCCATTTAACGACCTTGATCAAGAGGTTGATTCTGTAGTCTCCCTCTCCATAGTTGTCCCAGAGTTTAATAAACTGCATAGGCTGGAAGCCCTTCCTCATAGCTAACCTAGATCTCTCTTTAATGGAGGCGATGTCTGTTGTTGGTCTCCAAGGGAGAGGGAAAACAGTTGGCCTTCATTTGTTGGCAAATTTCTCAGCCTTCCTGATAAACTGAACTGCAACAGTTGCCTGTCTGAAACGTTTTTGCTTATGACTCTAGATTGTCCTCTCTGACTATGAAGGGATGCTTCTAGAATGAACAGCCTTTTAGGGAATGTTAGTAGTGGCTTTGGATCCCTCTTCAGATGGTAGAAGAAAATATGTAATGCATGTAATATGTATCTGCTTTTGATCCAGTCCTTTCCAGACTTCCATCCAACCCTGGACTGGGAGGGCGTACCAGAGGATAAAGTGGTGGGGTGGCGGGGACGACTGGTGATCATCTTAGACGCCCCCTCACACAGATCCTAAGGTCCATCAGCTAGTGACTAGCAGAAATGGGAGCAAAACCCCAGAATTCCTGATTTTGTGTCTAATTCTTACCCCTTGACCTCACTCCCTGGCCTCCCATCATTGTGTCTAGCCTAGCCTTCTCCTCCCAACAAAGTCTCCCACACCTACTCTCTGCTCCCCAACACACCCCGCTCTACCACCCACTCCCAGGCTTCCCATCAGCCTGTCACCTTGAGAGGCATGTCATCTTCACTCTCCTCTCCAACCATCTGCTGCCATCTTCCAACTCCACCTGGCTCTGTGCAAAGCCTTCCCAAACTAAGTTTAACCTCACCTACCTTGGATGCTTCCAAAGCACCAAGCTAGGGCCTGTGTTGTCCCCAGGCTAGCCACATGTTCCTTTCTCTTTTGAGACAGGATCAAACTTGCTATGTAGTTGGATTTTTGATCCTGCTGCCTTCTAAGTGCTGGGATTGTAGGCACCATGCCACCCTCCTGGGTTTATGGGATGCTATAGATGGAGCCAAAGGCTTCCTGCGTGCCAAGCAAGCACTCTACTGACTGAGCTATATCTTCAGACCAAAGTGCTCCTTTCTGAGTTCTTCCTCTTCCTCTGCCATGGTCCCCGTCAACATGCTTTCCACCAGGAATTTCCTTTGGAAGAACAACCACTTTGTCCCTTGGGGCTCCACAAATTCCTCTCCATGGTCAGTCCATCTTATAGATTCACTGCAACTCAATCAACTAAGCAAGGACAGGAAGAGCTGGGAGGCTGACTTCTGAACTACAGATACCATGAGGGTCATCTGGAGCTACCCAATGGCTGGAACTCTCTAGAGGGAAGACTCCCACCTCTGGATCATGGTGAAGGCAGGGAGGTTGGATTCAGGGTCTTCTAATCCTGAGAATAATCACCTCCAAACTATATGTTCACCTGAATTTACAAGAATAAAAGTTTTCTTCTGACTCAAGTTCTTACCTGTCTGTTGAAATCAAGGCCATTTCGATCATTTCCTGGAAGAGATAACAGATACAAACATATTAGTCCCCAGTGTGATCAGAAGAGATTGACGCGTAAGAGAATGCTGTGAGGGGAGCTGATTTCCCTATGGCCAGCATCTTCCTCCTCACCCTGTTTTCTGGAAACCTTAGGAAAGTCTTTTCCAGGGGAATGGGCAGCCAGAGAAAGTCACCTGGGAAGGCAGGCTGGCTTCCCTAAGGTCACACAGCAAGACAGCGTCCTTTGGGAGCAGAGTTTATTACCAACCAGAATGTCTCTGCTCTGTAGCACACAGCCTATGCCCAAGCAACAGTGTCCCATCCCTCACTGAAAAGCAAGAGCAGGTGCGCCAGGGGCACTAGAGGAATTATCCCGAGGTTAGAAGTCTTCCTACTAGCCCTTCCCTCCAGGAGCCATGATGTCTAAATCATGTCAGATACATAAGTATCTGTCCCTCTGACCCCCCAGTTTTATTTCTTCTTGTGCTCTCCCTGCTTTCTTTTGTTGTTCTTTCTTTCTTTACTTACTTATTTAGTCTTTTTGAAACAGAGTCTCTCTGTAACCCCAGCTGGACTGGAATTAGCTATGTAGACCAAGCTGGCCTTAATCTCACAGAGATCCTCCTACCTCTGCCTCCCATATTAAATACCTCTGGGATTAAAGCACACCCGGCTTATTTATTTTAAAAAATATTTTATTTATTATTTTTATTTTTGTGTGTATAAGTGTATTGCCTGCATGCATGTAAGTGCACCTGTGTAGTGCAATGTCCACAGAGGTCAGAAGAGGCTGTCGGATCCCCTGGAACTAGAGTTATGAATGGTTGTTAGCCACCATGTAGGTGCTGGGAATTGAACCCAGGTCCTCTGCAAGGGCAGTCTGTGCTCTTAACTGATGAGCCATCTCTCCAACTTCCTTGTTGCTTATTTTGTAAAGGCAGTCTCTTGTAGTTCAGACTGGCCTCCCTCCAGAGGATGACCTTGAACTCCTGATCCTCCTGCCTCTGCCTCCTAAGTATTGGGATTATGGGTGTGTACCAATATACCCAGCTTTTTTCTTTTATGATAAATGTTACACTGAAAAAGTAAGTATGTAGAGAAACTTTTTGGTGCAGAAAAAACCTAAACACAGAGACACAGCCATTATTAATATTTTTTGTGTATTTTATAGCCCAAACTCTCTTGGCAGGGTCTCATGTAGCCTAGACTGGGCTCAAACTTGTTATGTAGCCGAGAATAACACTGAACTGTGGATCCTTCTTCCTCTACCTCCTGAGTGCTGGGATTATAGACATGTGCCATGATGGGGATGGAACCCAGATCTTTGGGCATGCTAGGCAACCATTCTGCCAACTGAGTCATACCCCTAGCCCATTTATATCCTTTTCATTCTAGTTTTTCTTTATGGGTATTTCACAATCTGCATAGACTTTAACCCTGCTTTTTTTTTCCAGGGAGCACATCATAAATATGTTATCTTATGCTATTAGGGCATGACTATTTCTCCTATGCTTGTAAACATCATTTTAATTGCTATATAATATTCTATTATTGCTTAAACACATACTTATTGATGGAGGAGCTGCTTCTATCCTTTGTAGTAATAGTTTCCTATTCAGATATCTCACAAAAGCAGAAGCTGTTGTACAACCTTCCTTTAGGCCCCATGAACTATTGACTCTTTAAGTGCAAGGAAAATGGCTGCTTATTAAACACTGTACATTCTAGCCATTGAGATGGCTCAGTGGGTATGGTTAAAGATGCCTGCTGCTAAGCCTGATGACCTGAGTTCAATCTCTGGGACCAACATGGTGAAAGGAGAGAGCCAACTCCAGCAAGTGATCCTCTGAGGAACTGGAGAGGTTCAGGAGTTAAGAGCACCTGCTGCTATTCTAGAGGACTCCAATTGGGTCCCAGCATGCACATTAAGCAGCCCATAACCTCATAACTTCCTATAACTCCAGCTCCAGGGGCTCTGACGCCATCTTCTGGCCTCATCTAGCACACACACACACACACACACACACACACACACACACACACAAAACAAAACAAAAAACAAAAAACAAAAACAAAAAAACAACTTTAATCACTGTGGGGCCAGGCTTGGTGACACACATTTTTAATCCCAGCACTCTGATGGCAGAGGCAGGAGGACTTCTGTGAGTTTGAGGCCAGCTTGGTCTACATAACAAGTTCCAGGCCAGCCAGTGCTGCATAGAGACCCTATTTCAAAAACAGAAAATGAACAAAACAAAAAGTTGTCCTCTGACCTCCAGACGTACCCAGTGACAGGTGCACCAGTCCCCCAAATAAATAAATAAATGCGATTTATTTTTAAAATGTAATGTAAATGTATTTTAAAAACATAGATAGTACATTCATTACCTGGCACTATGCTTAAAATATAATAGGAACTGAACATAACACTGATTAAATGAATGAACAAATTACTGAGTAAATTTATCCAGAACTTTCATGGTGGCTTAGCATGGCATATACTTCCTCATCTGCCTTCCTTCCTGCTGACCTCTCCTTCTTTGCCTTCTGCTGTTTGCTCCTTACTTCCCAGGCACCCTGAGCTCTGGCCACACAGAATCTTCATACATGTCCACCCATTACTACACCCCCCATACACTGTTCCCTTGCACAGCATCAGTCTCTCTCCCCTCGGGAATCCCAGAAGTCTCTACTGGCCATAACTCCCCATTCATCTGTGTGGTTTTCCTGTTAATTTCCTGAGAACTGGATGGTGACATCCATTTCTGTGTCCTCAGGGGTCGTCACAGTTCTTAACACATATCAGAGACGCAAGAAACAGCTGAGAAACAATTGGATGGGACCTAAGCGACTCCTCTGGCACTTTAACTTAAGCTGGTTTTCCTCTACTCTCTCCCCAAGGACAATGGGGCAGTGTCTTCCTGGAACTTGTCAGGCATCTCTGAAGGCTCCTGGGCCAACAGGACAGATCAAAGAATGAAGGGTCCCAGGGTCCAATGAAGGTGAGGTACAAGGTGGTCTGTAGTAGGTGATGTTGAGAGCAGCGAGGCCAGCAAGTAAACACCTGAGGGGAGCTAAAGTCAGGAAGGCCACATGTTGTCAGGCGTGGTAGTACATGCCTTTGATCCCAGCATTTGGGAGGCAGAGGCAGGTAGATCTCTGTGACATTGAAACCAGCCTAGTCTACACAGTGAGTTCCAGGCCAGCTGGGGCTACAGGGAGACTCTGTCTCAAAACAAACTAAACAAATAATAACATTAATAATCATTATCATCATCACCATCATCCTTTTGGGGCTGGAGAGATGGCTCTTCCAGAGGACCTGAGTTCAATTCTTAGCACTTACATCAGGTGGCTTACAACTACCCACAACTCCAGTTCTATGGGGGAATCATCCAAGTCCTCTGGCTTCTGTGGGCACCTGGTACTCATGTTCATAAGCACATAGAGATATGTAGACACACATGTACACATAATTAGAAATAAAAAAATAAACCTTTAAAAATTAAATTATCCTTTTATCACATTGTAAACTTAGCCTAAAGAGGTTTTAAAAAATATTTTATCTATTACTTTTGTTTAATGTGGATAATCATATTGCCTGCATGTATGTAAGTGCACCCATGTCATGCAACGCCCTTGAAGGATGTTGGATCCCCTGGAAATGGAGCTATGGACAATTGTTAGCTGCCATGTGGGTGCTGGGGACTGAACCTGGGTCCTCTGCTAGAGCAGCCAGTGCTCTTAACTGCAGAGCCATCTTTCCAGCCCAAGAGGAAGGTTTCTTAATTTTTGTGTTTCGGTTTTTTTTTTTTTTTTTTTTTTTTGTAGATTTGGCAAAGAGAACTTGTGAGATGGCTCAGTAAGTTAAGGAACTTGCCACTGAGCCTGATGACCAGAGTTAGATCTCTGGGACCCACATGGAAGAAGGAGAGAACCAACTCCTGTAAGTTGACCTCTGACCGCCACAAACACCTACACACACACACACTAAATAAATAAATACTTAGTAAAGAGCAAACTTGCTAATCCAACAAGTATTTACTGAACATACTTTGGTGCCAAGCACTAACTGGGCACAGAGTGCCATGATGGAGGCAGAAGTCTCCGGCCTTCTGTTGGGATTGCTGTCTAGTTCACCTGGTCTCTACGGCTGACTGAACAGATGGTCTGGAGGTGTTGAGGCCAGCCAGGGCCTTCCTTGAGACTGGGCCCCTGGCCCTGGATGCTCCAGGAGAAGGGAGATTAGACATGGATCCCATCCTTAGGTACTTAGTAAGGGCTCAGTTGCCCAGAGTAAATATTGACCTGGCCCCGTTCCATATTCTGATTGCCCTACAAAGCAGGAAGTATGTCCTCTAAGAGACCGGGCTTCCTGCCTGGCTCCCAGCCTAGAAAAGGTATTGGGAACATGCAGGGGTCTAGGCTGAGATACAGGTCTTGTGTATCCTAGGGTGGTCTTGAACTTGCTATACTCACTCAAAAGAGGCATGAGGTACCTTGGCCTGCCTTTCCAGATTTGGCTGAGGGGACTGCCTTAGCCTCACTTTGCTCTTGCACCGGTCTCAGCTTCCCTCCCATCATCCCCTGGACGTGTTCCACTTGGCACCTCTCCTCTCCCAGCCTCCAGGAAGGCTTAGGAAGTGGCACCTGTGAACTTCAGGCTATGACCTGGCTTACTGGGGCTCAGTTACTGCCCAGTGCTCCAGATTAGGGGTACTGGCGAGCCCCTGGCTCCTTTTCACAGAGACAAGAAGGGAGGTGGTGATCATGATGCTCTAAGTATTAGTCCTACTCAGCAGAAACTTATGACGCTACCTTGTGTCAAGATGTGGGGCACAACAAGGCATACTTGGAAAGAATCCCAGACTTGTCATCAGAAGGCTGTGGTCTAGGCCCCAAGCTGTGTGACCTTGGCCAAAACAGGGACCAGCTGGAGCCTCAGGCTTTTCACTGATAAAACAAGGGTATATGTCTTCTTGTCCTTCCCAGGGACACAGAGAGGCCCAAGTGAG